GGTGAGTTGCAATTTATACTAAACTGTCTGCTGGTCAGAATTATTGGTGGAACTAAATTCTCAAGAGTTGTCGGCAACTATACTTCGTTTTTAACGGTTTGGAATTTGCTACTGCGCATCAGTTGGTGTCATGCCATATGGGCCAAATAGTTAGAACATACAAGCCTACAGTATTTTCAAAATCATTTGTGGCTGAATCCTACACGAGATAGCACGATTATTTGTGATATACACTGCTACTCTGTAGTTATCGTTTAACAGGTATTATTATCATTATTTTTAATATTAACTTCAGGAAAAACATATAAATCTTTTTAATTTAATTTAGGTATTTCGAGGCAGATGAAGGTGAAGACAGCTAGCAAAATTTCACAGTATGACATAGGCTGATGCTGTTGTTATAACTAGTGCAGAAAAGTATATCTAAATAATCAATAAAGATTAATTCATATTAATGAGGAAAAATAAGGTGACTTAACATTATTATTTAATTATTGAAAGCGTCATAATTTCATAGTATAATTTTACATTATGTATTGTATCTTCTTTTTTACTATATAAGTGTAAAAACTTTACAGTTCTTTGAATTACACCTGGACAAGTTTGGACCTACAGAATTACATACACAAGGAAATGGAAGGTATGTGTTGAAATCGCATTATTCAAGCTAAATTAATGTTATAAAATATAATGCTAATAATATATATAGCACCATTTAAACTCTTGCAACACCCTTATTGTCATCCCTACATAACTAATTGTCAATGAGAAATCTTAATCAACAGGCATTGGTTTTCTTTCTGAAATTAACTTGCTTGTGATAAACATTATCTTTAATAACGTTTCGCTTCATTTTTGACACGTGTCCGTGTTAGTCGTGGAGGTTGTGGGTCGGTGTTGGGTTATGTGTTGGGGTGGATGTGGGGTGTAGTTGTGGTTTTGGTGCTCGTTTTTTTGGTTATGGGATTGTTAGGGTGCGTTGGAAGGAAAGTCACCTACGCAGGCCATTGACTGGCCAGAGCTAAACATCTGATGTTCGGCGAATTCACATGCTAGCAGAAGTTATAGAGACGTGAAGTTAAGTCATTGCAGTCATCAATTATATGTAATGATACATAGTAGGTTGGTTAGTAATTACTTGGGGTAATTCAAAGAAAAGTACTAATGTGAATTCTAAAACATAAAGTATCGGATTCACATTTTCATCTCAGCATACGTAAATGAGAATAATTTGCGTTTCAGATGGCTCACACACAAACAACATGTGTTTGCCGTGGCTCAGAAGGAATGGACCTACGTCTATGATAACCAGGGCTTAGAGCCTGCATTTGCCTCAACTGCTGGCTCTTGTTCTGCGCATGGATACCTCGCCATATCACTTCGCTGCTAGCACATTCTGTTAGCATTCTACATTGTGCTTTCATACTAAATGTCTTGAATATTACTACAGAAAAAGTTTTTTGGTGTCACAAACACCCAAGAGAAGAAGCTTGGTCAGAATCTGCCGTATTTTTTACGATAGTCACTAAATGAAAAATCGTATGTGGCTTAAAAATTTCTGAAGGCAGACATCCAATTTTATTAATGCAAGGAATTACCCACTGACATTTATGAAAATTGAATGCGGCAATGAAATCGGGCATGACTTTTGCTGATGCCTATGATCGCTGTGTATAACCTGCTGTTTCAGAGTGGCCAAGGTTAACTCTTCCTGGCTAGAACATCTCCAATAGGCAAGCAAGTTTCGGGTTGCGTCACGCACATGGGTCGACTTGACGTGATGTGCAGACCGCATAATGCTATCATTCACCTAGGTGCCACGCGAGGTAGGATTGCATCTCTTTGATAACGTCTATACGGTTATCACAAATCTCAGCATGTTGTTGAAAGTTTTCTGTTCCATATTGCTCTTCGATAGCCGCCAACCGTCAATGCTTACTTATATTTTTAAATATGGTGTGATTTCTGGTATATCTGCTAACAAGGTGTAAAGTAGCGTTACTCTGCAGCGTTTTTAAAAATTTTGTGAGTGTGTGTTCAGAAACCTTCTTTATATTCAGTGTCATTTGGCAGATTTGTTTGACGGTGCGATTTCGAGTTAGAAGACATATTTAAAGATTTGGTATGACTTCTCAATCGCAGGCAGCGTCTACGTTGTGGTCACATCCGTTAAGAGGCCAACTCATAAAAGAGCTCTGTGCACAGAGTGCCATCAGAGGTTTAGCTGTCGACACACTGGAAAGTAGGCATTGTTTTCTATACCTGCGTGCATCGACGTAAGATTTCTGTTCTGAGAACAATGTTCTTTTTCTTCTTTTTTTCTTGCTTACTTAGCTTGGTCTTCTTTGGGACGTAAATCGGCGCTTTGTGCCACTGAGGATGGTCACTGGCACAAGAGTTAAATGTGTCTTCTGTTCTTCCACGTCACCTTACTGAGAGACGGGCCGCATGTTTACGTGGGATCTGAGCACAGGGACCCAGAGTTGGATCACTAGCTCCCATGTTCTTAGCAGCCAGGTTTTTCCACATTGGAAAGTCACTGTTCTATCTGGGTTTGAGCTCACACCTTAGCCATGAATTGATGGATGTGTTTGGCTTTCAAACGTGGCTCAACAGCTGAGCACTGAACATCCCTAACTGTTGCCCATGATTTCATCATGGTTCTGTCTGTTGCAGTTACAGTTGGCAACTGCTCGGGGGTGTGGTCGCTCTCTTCGAGTGTGTCAGATCTCAAGAACCGTACAAGGCCTCTCCCCTACAAATACAAGATCTCTGGCCGCGACACCCTGCTCTCAATTTTAGCCAGACGGGCCTGTTGGCTCGCGGTTAGGTAACGTCGTTGAGGTATGTCGGTTTGTGTACATAGCTGTGTCGTGGTTAATGTTATAAATGGTTTTAGATCTGGTTGGCTTGTGCTGTTAAGGTATGCAATTAGTCTTCGTGGCCAGTTAGATTCATCGCTTATGCCATTTTACAGTTTGATTAATGAAAGCAGAATACTGATTAGATGCTTATACGTTCAAACACCGCGATTGAAAATATTTTTATTTCATTGTATATATTGGATATGGATAACAGCTTGTACTAGGAAATGTAATGTTAAGCAGGCAGAATTCCTGTCCTCGAACACTGACGTGCCTGTATCGCCTGTGAGTATACTAATTGATAAGTTACCGTTACTAAAAAT